AAAGTCTTACTGAGTAGCCTGTGTGTTCTTCCAGAATATGTTATACACGAGTGCCAAATTTCATCAAGATCCGTTAAGCTGTACCAAAGAAACCTTCAAATAAACATCCAAGCATCCATCTAAACATTCGCATTTATAATAGAATGATTAGATTTAAATTTGTTAAAACATTTTTTTGGCAGAGGAAAACCGCGATATTCTTGCATATGCGCATACTTGCTCTCCAGCATATCATGGATATTCATAATGTGGTGACGTCACCAATCTTGTGTAGGTCCGAATAACATTATATACAAAACAATTTACAGTACAATAAAATATCAGAGGCAAGAGAGGACCATATAGAAACAGAATAAAATCTATCTTACTAATCTTACTTCTTAATATTAAAAATGCTAAATTTTAGATAGAATGATGGATGGATGATTGTTACTATATATGTCGGGTGATCACCTTCACATAGATGCAGAACATATGATGGAAGAACATATAGACTAATTAGGTTTTTTTTTAATTTCGCGCGGACAGAGTCGCAGTCGAATGCTAGTAGATACTAATACTGTACTTGATTTGACAGTAATCGAAGTATGGAAATGAAGAGGCACAAAAGTCTGATAATGAATTCGGTGGAGGGAAGCAACATTTTATCTGTGAGGACATTAAATCGATAAGGTCCGCACACAGATAAGCAATTAACAATTGTAATCCAGAGCTTTCTAATTAATCATTTAGATTTATTGTCGTTCTAACGATTTCAGATGTTTGGATTACTGTTTAATAAATTATTTCATTTAAAACTTTTCGGTATTCTTTAGATGTTTTAATGAATTTCATCCAACATAACGAAATGTAGTAAAATATGTAAGTAATTAATTTCGTATTACTAATACGGTCTTTTAGCCATGTTAAATTATTAAGTAACAATTTGTACGGTATGTAATAAAAACATTCGTTATGAAATCTATTTCTTAGATGGAGAAAACGCGGGATTTACTACAGATTAATCATCACCGCCCATTAGTAATAATGTTGATTTGAGACAGATCGTACCACTTTATAAACATAAGATTAAAAAAAAAACAAAGTTAGATCGTGAGGTAAATTGCATTACTTTCTCTTCACGGCGGACGAGTCGTCACGTTGAAAGCCTTTTACAAGAACTACTCCTGTACTTTTTATATTCTACAATTCCTGTTCTGGGAGGAATCCCTTGAGAACTTTGACTCCTAAGTGCTTTGAAGTAAATTCACTGTGGTAAATTTAAAAGCTTACTTGCACATCAATTTTATACTTACATCTTGACTTCCATTGAAATGACGTAAAATAGATCTATTTAGAGGACTAAAACTGGTGCACCCACCCTATATAAGTGCGTTAAATACATGGACATGATTATGATGAAATTACCGCGTTCCAATCTAAACTCGAATTGTTTTTACCATAGATGTATGCTTTTCATTAAAACTCGTTAATTCCAAAATATATACCGTAAACTAATTTTTCACGCATAACGTTAGCTTCCTTATTTTATAATATAAGTCTACTTTGATTCACAAATTTAACAAAATGACAAAACAAATGAATTAATGTAGTGTCCAACATGGTAAGTTGGGCTTTCCTTCTCTTAATTAAGGAGTTTGAATAAATCGAAAACACCAAATAAATTAATTAAAGCAATCACTCTCGTCAGCAGTTGTGACAAATGAAAATAATTAATTAAAATTATTTTATATTTTGCGGAAAGAATGAAAGATAACAATATTTTTGTACAAATCTTTTGATAGTGGGAATGTAACTGTACATAACTAACAAATTTTCAATCCGTATCACACTGCCAATCGGCTTGTAGCCGGGATGAACAGATAATTAACAATTCTAATGTAATCTGCAATCGGCCTGTCTATTCAGCCTAATGATATTTCACAAACTCTGCGTTAGCTGATTGTTTATACCTTTCTATACTATAAATGAGTTTGTTTGAATGGATGTTTGTTACTAGATATCTCCAAAAAGAGCTCAATTAATCTCGATGAAATTTGGTATAGAAGTATGAATGTCTGTAAGAATTCTCATAGGCTACATCTCTTACAATTATCTTTTATCTATACAAAGAGGTACATCTGTTTTGAGATCTCTTAAAAGATATCCCTTGTGATTCCTATCTTAATTCTAATTATCTCACTTCTTACTTCTTACTATATACCTTACTAATACTATAAATACGAATGTTTGGATGGTTAGATGGATTTATGTTTGTTTGAAGGTAACTCCAGGAAAGCTTTAACGGATCTACGTGAAATTTGGAATATAGTCTGGAAAAACACATGGGCTACTTATAAAGTTTTTTTTAAATTCTACACAGACAGAGTCGCGGGCGTGAGCTTATTAATTATACAACTAAAACAAAAATAATGCTCGTTTAATTTTTTCTTCGGTATCATTATTACACAGTTTTGCCTAACTTCGCTAGCTCATTACCAAGTCTTTAGAAAGGTAATTAATTGTTTGCTCAGAGTTGAACTTTTTGTTTTCACTTGCAGTCTTTATTAAACTTCAATATAATCAAGGTACAATGCCTTTAATAATTAGAATACTTTTTGTTCTCGTATAGTAATTTTCTTGTTTTTGAACTTGAAAGAAAATGAATAAAGATTTTTATTTTTCATAAATTTACATTATTTTGAACTTACTTTAAACTTTCTCATTGCTTTATTAAGAATCTTTCGTATTCTTATTTTTTTTTCGTATTACTATCAGATTCGTAATTTTACCATTAGCATTTGTATGTTTGTATATTATTTATGTATTTTTATATAAATATCGGGCAAAAGACTATTGGGTCGGGCCTATAATTAAAAATGTTCCATTATCCCGTTCTCTCCTTTCATTTGACATTTTGGTCTCGGAAACCATAAATACGTTTTTAACCTATATGATGTTTAAAAATCAAATATTTAGGTTAAAGATTACTTTAAAAGTCGTATACTTAGTTATAAATCTTTTTTTATGCTTAGAAAACCCCTAATGAAATATTATGTCGGTCGTGTTGAAAGGGGTCGAAAAAATTATAATTTTATGTAAATGGCTCCGGGCTTTAAGAAACCTTTTGCGCGTATAATTAATGCTTTCAATGATTTGTCGAAAGCTTTTATACTTCTTAGTTTTATCAAAGTCCAAAATAATTTTAAAATTATCAACCAAAAATAGCTTATAACAAATCCTTATATTTACTAAATCAGTTGCCCTCAACTTCGTCCACGTAGAATAAAAAGTACCTTTTGCTACAAATATCAGCATGATCAAGAATGGAAGCAGCACTAAATATATAGCAGACTGTCGCCAGGGACTTCGCCATCACGAAATAAAAGAAATCATAATTAGTAAACCTAAGTTCTTCCAGAATGCGTTTTATTTGTACGCCAAATGCCATCGAGATTCGTTCAGTCGATCCAGAGATCCGATACCTTCAAAAATCCATCCATCCATCTAAACATTGGCATTTATGATACTAGTAAGAAGTACCCTGTGGACTGTAGACTAGAAGGGCAGATGATCTAGAAGGGATTGTCGATTAAGATGACGGAAGATAAATATATCTGGTGGATAAAAACCTTGTGCGCAGACTATTTGGGTGGGATAAGGACAGGGAGATAATAAACCAACTCTTTCTTGCAATTATGATTAATAAATAAATACAAGTCGTCTTGTAACGTTTATTTTAATTTACATATAAATGTGCGTGAATTAGATTTCATATTGCGATAATTTAACAATTTAAAATTATCACAAATCTTTTAGCATTAACAAGTTTATTACTAATTTTAGTAGTAAAAAAAAATCAATGAGATAGCATTATTCTTTTTTTTTTCGTTGTAATTTATTTAACTGTTGATAAAAATGCGCTCCAAATCGTGCGTTTGCCGAAACACATATTTAAAAAAAAAAACACTCCCATCTGTTGTTTGCCCAAAAAAAAACAAAATGGACGTCCAAGTCGATTCAATTCCAAACAATACTGGGATATATTTTCTTAATATTAGACTTAATTTGTTCGTTTATATTACGTGTTTTTTATATATTTTGCATTGTCTTAATTTTCACCTGATTTAAGATGAATAGTTTAAACCATATTTCCTTGACTTCTGTAATTTCATATATAACTATGCTATATTATTTTCAATAAAGCTCACACAATGGACAGAGAAATTATAAAAAATCTGTCATAAATAAATCAACCTTTATCTGATTCATACAATATCTTACTAATTTTAAACTAAAGCAAAAATTATTAAAAACATTTTTTTCGTAATATAAAAACAAAAATTTTCACACGTTAATATAAATAAAACTATAAAGGAAAACCTTTTGTATTAAGTACTGACTAACCTTAATGCCATCATGCAAAAGCATATTGTAGATGACAAAGATATAGTAATTTTCAAATATCTTGGCGGCTCAAGGTCATTGGCACACAGCGTAGTGCCCTCCTCCCGCGGCCCGCTTCAACCCAATATACTTGACATTGTGTTCTGGGTAACGACGCGCGCGAAATTAAGAGCCGGCAAGATATATGATAACTATTGTAACAATACATTTAACCAGTGAAAGCCCACGGTTAACTATATAATACAATTGTGCGTTAATTTTATGCAACTTCTCACTAAATCTTAGCATTACACAGTGGGTTTATGAATATTGATTTTCCCATCAAAATTATATTTTTTTTCATCGTAAAATATACAGAATTACTGATAGACGAATAATTGACCAATTATTTATAAAAAATGCAAAGAAATACAAACAACAACTCTTATAATACTCATGTATAAAAATATTCAAAAATAACATAAGCTTAGGAACCATGGCCAAACTTATTTCATTGTTTAAACTATTCCAAGGTCATTTAAAAGTGATTGTAATTTAAGAAAATCGTAACTTACCGTGGGTTTTTGAAATCAAAATCTCCGTTAAAACATGTTATCTCTGTTTTATCAAAGATAATGATAGGGATGACGATATGTTTTATACAGAGGTTTTGGTCTTAGAAACTCACGGATAGTCAAACAAGGATATCTGAACCGGTGAGAGACACTGCAATTGCGGTTGGGTTTGTCAGAATAATTATATAGTCTACTTAGACATAGAAAATGACAAGAAAGAAAAAATGACATGACAGCTACAATATAAAGAGGATCTTAAGACATTTTTGACGTTGACAGAGGGGCGCTAGTGAGCTATCATAATTTAGTTCGACTTATTCCCACCGGTTCAGAATCTTGTTGGTTTATATTTAAAAACATGCCGTTAATTACAGACTAGAGAATTTTTTAAAATAAAAGTTTAAAATTCGATATGTATTAATTGCGGGAGTTCCTTGACTTTTATTTAAAAATATAATTGAATAAATTTGATTTAAAACAGCGATGATATTTTACTCCTTTAAAACATCGATGTATACGATGGTCCAAATCAAGACCTGAAACTATTTTAACAAACAAACAGCACTATACATTATTGAGATTAGACAATTTCATTTTGCAATCTTTTGCAAGATTTTATGAAAATAAATGAAACAATAATATTAACGGTACAAATTTTTTACAATGTTTGGGAATTAATTTGGATCATCGTATACAATAAAAATTGTACTCGCATTAACAACTTTACAATAGGTCGAACAAATTCAAAAAATTTAATTTAAAGTAACTAAAATTGATATGTTACCTACAATTCACTATCCCATTTTTGGTGTAAACTTTTTAAATGATCATACGCTCTCCTAGTAATATTTAAAGTTGGTACAATTTCTAACAAACCACTCTCCCCAATTAAACTAAGTCCGGCCAAACCTAAATATGTATGCATCGGATCGGTACATGTGTCCGGCCATTTTGAAAATCCACCAACAACATAATCCTGTGTCTCATAAACGTATCTTTTATTACTATTATAATTAGTTAAATGTAATATATCTAACATTTTTAACGAAGCACCTACCCAGAAACTGTAACATGTATCAACTGGTTTGTTAGGCCTGCCTTGGAAGCCATCGACTTGTCTGAACATAAGCCATCTCCGGAGACTGTCCATTTGATATTCAGAGAGTTTGTCCAAACGATTGGTGAGGCTTAACGTTGCGAGAGCACAGTATGTTGTACCCCCGTGTGATTCTAATTCTGGACATTGTGCTATCCCATAATCATAGCCCTGGAAACAAGAAAAAAAACCACATCATCATCAGCTCAGTATACGTCCCCACCGATGGGCTCGGAGCCTACCCTAAGTTACGGGTGACTAGGCCATAGTCAACCACGCTGGCCAAGTGCGGGTTGGTTGACTTCACTCATATTCGAACCCACGACCTGCAGATTGCAAGTCAAGTGCTTGACCCCTGAGCCACCGCCGCTCAAAAAAAACCTAGTTCATTCTAATAATTTCCTACTCAGTATTTGATGGTTACAAGTTAGTTGCTTAGTGTAATATTAGTGAGGGAACATGATGGAACTGATGATGTAACCATATCACTAATCTGAGGTTAGTAATTTAAATTGCGTTCTAACCAGTTCAATTGTGTTTGAACGATGAGGCCTAATTTTTTTCAAAATTAATTCTTTATGAACTAGCTGTCGACTGCGACACCGTCCGCGCGGAATTAAAAAAAATCCTATGTGTTTTTCCAGGCTATGTTCTATATCTATGCCAAGTTTCAGCGAGATCTGTTCAGCCCTTCTGGAGATACCTTTAAGCATCCATCCATCTGAACATTCGCATTTATATTATTAATAATAAGATAGTAAGAAGTAATATAAGATAAATAATAACAATTCAAACAAACCGGTTCTAACCAGTTTCAACACCTAAAACTTTAGTTGACAAAGTATTATTAACAAAGCATTTAAAATGGTGTCAAGTGAAATATAACACGGATTTTATTGTTATACAACCTTCAAATCAATTTTTTGTATCGCAAGCAGTAAACATAATGTGCTGTTTTATACATAGCATAAACCTTGCTTCTTACTTATAAATGCGTAAATTTGAATGGATGGATGGATGGATGTTTGATGGTATCTCTTGATCAACTGAACGGATTTCGCGGAAATTTGGCATACATATAGAACATAGTCTGGAGGAACACATAGACTACTTTTATTTTTATTCCATGCGGACGGAGTCACGGGCGAAAGCTAGTATTAGAATAAAGTTCACTTAAACAAAATACGTACCATACACTTGATAATATAATCTGTGGCTTTCTCCACATTGAAACCAGACCAATCGTTTAGAATGTAGCTAATGCAGGCCGCGCAGTACACGAAGCGCATGTCCGATTCACATCCGGAGAGAGTTGCAGAGAAGTTGCCTTCTTCCGTCTGTAACGCCTTTACACCTGCGGAGTAAAGCAATCCTAATCATTTGCTGCCACTTTTAGAATTAGAATAGAATTAAAAGTTGAAAAAATAGGCTTATTCTATTGAGTTAAGTAACATCTCGCAATTTTTACTTTTAAAAAAATTTGTATTGTTTTTGCAATCTTGGACAAAAAGCAGCATTTGAAAGAGAGAGTTAGATAATGGATTGAAATTGACTATTGAAATCATAGTTCTTAAGAAATCTACCTTAGATTCTGAATAATTGCTAAGCAACATAAAATGTAGCAGTGTTTCCTATGTGAATAGATCTGTTGTAACACTTAAAATTTTTCACCTATATGGAAAATCATCATCTCATAGTTTTCATCCGACTCATCATGGGTTTCTGACACCAAAATACCCGTTGAAAACATATTGTTATCTCTGTTTTTTCAAAGATGAGAGACAGGGATAACGATATACTTTATACAGAGATTGTGGCCTCAGAAACGAAATGATAGCGCAACGGGCATTCGTCCTACAGACCGATTCATTTCAGTCATTATTCTCCTCTAATCTTGTCATCAGGCTATATGGAGAATACTTACCATTAATAATAGCTTTCCTATTAACCCTCGATAAATCATCCCCCAAGGCCAGTAAAGTACACAAAGCAGTATACGTCATAGCAAGATGCCCACATCGGTAATGACTATTCGCGTTATCAAGCTCTATATTTATAGTTGAGGAGCCTTGGAAGCCACATGTCGACATGTCACCATCTGTAACCAAGAATAACCTAATCAAGGACGCCAATGAAAGACCCAGAAGTCTGGAATGGTAACGAGAAGTGACGTAATGTAAAACGACGTTGAAAATATTTCGCAGTGTAACTGAAATTAATAAAACACGTCAAACGCGTTACCCGTGTTGAGGCTTATCAAAGTTGATTTAAGTTGGAATTAGCAAACTGCAGGTAGTAATTAATTACTAAATTTTGATGTTTAATTATCCATTGTTTACGGCAAGAAACATAAATATGAAAATTTACATTTGTATGTACACCATTTGCGCGAAATTAAAAAATCAATTAACCTATTAGTTCTACCAGACTATGTTTTACATCCATGACACATTTCATCGAGATCCGTTTAGCCGTTCTGGAGATATCTACAAACAAACGTCCATCTAAAAATCGCATTTATAATATTAGTTAAAAGTAAGAAGTAAGGTTGGTACTACATTCTTTTGAATAATAAGTTCATCTGCTATGTTTAAAAAGTTAAATTATTAAACGTAATCAAACGTAATCTTAATAATTGCCAAACACCACAACAGTAACGGTAGCTATTTATATGCTTATTAACTTTTACGATATTTAAATATAAAAATTACATGCAGATTGTTATCAATTCTATTGCTTAATTGCCGTGTTTGTTTCCATTGTTAAGTCAATGAGATAACGCAAGTAACTTGGTCACACACAAATTATTTACTGTTCTTTATAGTATTATTACACCAATCACTATGATTATCACGTATGTTTAATTATAATATAGTAGTATTATATATCTTTAATACATATGACTTAAAACATGTGTAAATACATAAAATGGAAAATGTAAACAATGAACTAAAATATACGAACTCATTACAACAGAGATGGACTTGATTACAATGTTTAAACTCAAAAACTATTAAATTACAGTCATTAATTATTTCACTAACAGAAAGATTTTCTCTTACAGAGTTTACCAGTTCACCTTCTATTTAAAAAAATAGACTAAGCATATTCCAGTAATGATGAAAATTTCTGCGAGTTTTGAATATAACTAATTTTAACAATCATTGAGCAGTGATAAACAGTGCTTCTAAAAGCACTGCATCCCCACCGAGGGGTTCGGTGCCTACCCTTAGTTAAGGGTGATTAGGCCATAGTCAACCACGCTGCCCTAGTGCGGGTAGGCCGACACTTATCTTTGAATTTTTTCTCAGATATGTGCAGGTTGCATCACAATGTTTTCCTTGACCGTAAGAACGTCGGATAATTGTACATATGTAAATCGGAAATCGAAAAACACATTGGTATATGGTGGGATTCGAACCCAGGACCTGCAGATTGCAAGTCAAATGCTTGACCCCTGAACCACCGAAGCTCTCTAAAAGTATATAGTTTATGTAAATAGTAAATTTTACTATTATTATTAATATGAATGTTTGGATGTATGGATGGATGTTTGTTGGAAGGTTTGTCTCCAGAATGGCTGCATGGGTTAGAATAAAATTTGGTATAGAAAACTGTCTGGAAGAACACATACATTATTTAACAAGCTTTTTTTTTAACCCATGCAGACAAAGTCACAAATAAAGGCTATAAACCATATTTGTAAATACAAGTTAAGATATGCAGACATAAATATTTAAGGAACTGATTTTTCCCTGTGCCGATAAAACAAGCAGTGGTTCTTCTCAACAATGTTTACTCAACCTCAAAGCAAAAACAAACTTTTATCCTCTTAGTACTATCACAGTTATAAGCCAAACTTGCTGTACCGGAAACTAACAATTTTTTTTAATTCATTTAATTTGATTTGAATAATTAAATAGGATGATGTCATATTTATGAATTAAAAAAATATATACACATAGTATTTTGGTGAAAATTAAGAGCAGATTTAAGTTATAACAATAGGTTGGACCTAGACCCACTTTGGGTTGCTGCATCAGCTAAGTATAGGTTTACATTGTAAAAACAACTGTGAAACATATTGACATCCCTCACATTTTCTTTGCAAAAATGGAGACAACAATATATATTATACAATTGTCTCAGGAAAAGATACCAACATTAACAAAAAAATATTCTCGAAATAGAATAAGGAGTCTTGAACAATGCATTTTTGCATTTAAGTTTCTAGGTTTATTATTTGTATTTTAGTCATAAGACATTCTTCATTATTTAATAATTAAATATTAAAAAACCTTACCTGATTTACGAGGTTGTACTTGTAATAAGTAAAGCCAGTCAATAATTCTGGACCTTAGTTCAATAGATATAGATGTAATTGATCCTAACACATCCAGTCCAGCAACAGAGAAGTATGCTATTGTCACCCTGAAACACAATAAATCAAGTTACATTTAAAATAATGACACTTTAGACAAGCATTTTCATGGTCAACCAGCTAGGAAAAGCAGCGGAAGGGGGCATAAAGTAAGAGAAGTATTCTCTGTAGTGAATTATCTGTTTAAGGTAGGTAACACATAAACAACCTTCCATATTGATGGCTATGATAGCAGTAAATTGACTATTTCAGTGTAAACAGATGGCCATTTTTTGATTTGCCAGCTACATAAACTTGCAAGGCGATATTTCATATTAGGATAAATCGAAATTGTTAAATATTATAATTAGTAAGTGTCTTTTTTAAGAAACATATTGACATACCTGGTTGAATCATGGGAAGACAATGAGGATGGTAGGATATTAAGAAATCTCATAAAGTATTTCACATGTTGACGATGGGCTAATTCCTTGTTCTCTTCATTAATCATTTTAATTTATTTATTTTTTAAAAGTGAAAGTTACAAATTCTGATTTTGAAATTAGACACCAATATTTGTCTTGAGTTTTACTTAACTTTTTAACATTCTTTGATCAAGTGAAAAAATTTAGACGAACATTATCATATAGGCTAATAAAGTAAATAGTGAGATTATTAATTCTTCCAAGGACCGATAGTTTCACATCTGAAGTTGAACAAAAATCACAAATGTCACTCCTTAAATACAAAATTCTGACGGACAGGTTCACAGGTTCATGTCAATCAAATTGTCAAATCTAACATCAATCAAATCATTTTGACATTCTAATATTGCTATTTTCATGGCAAATTTTAATTATTTTTTCATTTGGTGGATTTTACATTGATTGGAAAAAAGAGATTAACCTTGGGATCAGGCCACAAATCTTGAAATTTTATTTTACCTAGATCTACAAATAAATGGGAGAAAGAATTAAAAAATAACCATAGAAGTGTAGATAATCACATGACAACACTACACAACACAGACAATCTATTTTGACAGTTGTTTATGACAACCATTTCTATTTGATGTCTACAAACTTTATGGTTCTTTTTCATGGCTGACGTTCCAAGGAGCTAGCCGAAGTCATGAAGGTTTATAAAAAGTGTTTTTATTTCTAAAGTCCCTTATATTGTAATAAAATAGAAGTGTTAATAGATTATTCGTATCCTTGCTTGTTCAATTAAATGTTTATATATTTATTTCGTGCTGTGATTTTTAAGAATAATGTGGATAAATATTGATGTTTGCTGAAATGAACATGAGTGTTCATTTCACTTTTATGTATTCGCGTAAAGTGGCATTACTAATGTTACTGTCCATATAGTCAAGCATATCTATTTTACATATTTTTTTATTTTAGTTCGATCATTAGTGGTGCGCGATTCTAACCTATATTTGTTGTTATAGTTGAACGTCTCCTACCCGGTAACGGGATGTCAGAAGTTATTCGAGGTGGTGGACGAGCACAAGCTCCGTATCTTTTATGAAAAGCGCATGGGCGCTGAAGTTGAAGCTGATCAACTAGGAGATGAATGGAAGGGCTACATTTTACGTGTTGCCGGCGGTAACGACAAGCAAGGATTCCCCATGAAACAGGGAGTTCTTACCAACAGTACGTATTCTAAACAGTATTGTAATTCATACATTTGCATTTATTTACTAGAAATTTCATTTTCGAACGACGTATGTTATTCAATTGTCTTCTATATTTTAGGCCGTGTCCGTTTGTTGATGTCCAAGGGCCACTCTTGCTACAGACCTCGTCGTGATGGTGAGAGGAAGCGCAAATCAGTCCGTGGTTGCATTGTTGATGCTAACTTATCTGTTTTGGCTCTAGTTATTGTCCGCAAGGGTACCCAGGTAACTACTACAATAAATATTAAAAACTCCCCTGTTCTTACTGTTTCTCAGATCTTCAAATCTGCGTAATTATATGCGGCAGGGCATATTAACAATGATGTGAAATAGATCCTCATGTCTTACTATAGGCATGGGCTATGTTTTACATTGAACAAACATACTAAATACAATAAATTAACATGTTCTTTCACAATATTACTAAAAATGAAATGAAATGTCAAATTTTAGTGCCAAATTAAAAATATATCTTGGTTATGTTAATTTTCAGGAAATTCCCGGATTGACAGATGGTGATGTCCCACGTCGCCTTGGTCCCAAGCGTGCATCTAAGATCCGCAAACTGTTCAATTTGACCAAGCAAGATGATGTTCGTCGCTATGTTGTCAAACGTCTCCTGCCCACCAAGGAAGGCAAAGAAAATGCCAAGCCTAGATATAAGGTATGTTTTTAATTAATAATTATGTATTTTTGTGAGGAATGTTATAAATCTAAAGTAAGTTTTTTTTTTTAATTTATTAGTAATTAAAAGGATTTAATTTTTCTAAAAGTTAACATTTTCTTAAAATTGTTTTAAAAATTAATTTAGTGTAAGTGAATACATGTTTTTTTTAATATAGACTTTTAATTATGATTAAATATTTTACATTCTAATAATTTCCCTGATATTTATTGTTTGTTAGTTAAAAAATACTAGTGAACAGCACACTCAGGGTAAAAAAAAGTGCACCGAGCAGAAGATTCAGATTTTTGTCTGTCTCTTTTACAGTGTGCCCTACAAAAAATATTTCTTTGTAGTATTTTGTTTATAAAGACCTTGATATGTAAAACTATGTCCCTTGAATGTATTGTGTGAATGTTTATCAATGAATCCAGCTAAAACCAGGCTTGTCATCTCAGTTTTGTCAGTAATGCTTCTTTTATGAGGCATCGGGAAAGCATTTTTGCACACAAGTGATATTCAGCAATTATATTTTGTAATAGAAAAACTTATATATTTTTTTGACATTAATTTCAGTCATATTCATAAATTTTACTTATTACCACATGGTCTTAAACAAAGGCTCATTGTAAAATAAACACCAGGCGGTTAAAATAATTAGTGACAATGATTCTAGGCCCCCAAGATTCAGAGGTTAGTCACCCCTGTAGTTCTGCAGCGTAGACGCCACCGATTGGCTCTGAAGAAGAAGCGTCTGGCTAAGCGCAAGGCATCTGAGGCTGAATACGCTAAGCTTCTGGCACAGAGAAAGAAGGAATCTAAGGTAAGGAAAAAAATATTTACAAAATGACAATCATTAGCTTTTAGTGCAGAAATGAAATAAAAATATATATCCCACGTGCATTCCAACTGTTCCTGAGATTAACTACAACAAATAGGACTTTATGGACAGACAAATTTTAAAAATTAGTTTTTTATTATCAGCAAGGCAAAAATACTTTGTTTACGAAATATCTATTTTTTTTTTTCAAAATTACAAGCAGTATTAGATACTGCTACTGTGTTACTGTAGTTTTGTGTGCCCAACCAATGTATTGAACGGTTTTTGCTGTAGATTCAAAGTTGCATTAAATCTTATTTAATCTGGCACTGTGTTCATAGGTTTTGAATATTTTCCTTGTGTCTTGTACCGTAGGTCAACAGAAGGTATCATATGGGCACAACTATTTGTGCTAATCATACCTACTGTAAGATTAAGGGCTGTGTCTTACCCCTTGGTGTATATTCAATATATGCTAAGGTATTAAATCAGCTACAAGACATTGTTACTCATAATTATTATGATAGTCTTTTACCACTTATATATTTCTTTTTCCCTCCATTTTACTTCAAATGGAATCTCTGATTAAAATGTAAATTATGAACACCACAAATAAGCTAAAAATAGTTTGAAATTAATTATTGTGTTCAGTTACCAGTTATTTAAGGTTTATAATACTTTTTTTTAAGTAAGGTGTTTTAAAATTGTGTTTTTTGTCGCAGGTCCGCCGGCAGGAGGAGATCAAACGCAGGCGGTCAGCGTCGATGCGCGACTCCAAGAGCTCAAGCCACAGTGCTCCACAGAAGTGAAAAATCTTTTTAAAAATATAAAAATTATAAAACCTGTAAGCAATCATTTTATTTCTTTTAAATACCCTAATTTTTTCAATTACTCAACCAAAAAGAGCCTAGAAAGGTATAAAGATAAAATTGTAGGGTTTTCATGTCGATTTGAGATAAAAAAAATGTAAGTTGTATAATGTATTTAAATTAAATGTATCAAAATCTAATCACTGTCAAACAGTACTGGCAATGCATAATATTTTACTCTTCAATTTAAACACTGCGGTGCTTCAATAATCCTAGACCGACATACCGAGCCATTACTCTGAGGTAAGAGGGATTCAGTTTCTTTCGCTTCCCAAGCAATGATTTTAATAATTTCTCTGATGAGTCATCAAATGGCTTTTGATAATCAGATGCCTGAAAAAATAACAGTCAAGGAGCTTTAGTGTAATTGGCCTAGGCACTTAATTTGGTTTTGTAGTGAAAGTACTAAAAAAATTTAAAATAAACCTTACAGTTGTTTTTGCGATCCAACAAAGTTCATCTAAAAGACTGCTATCGTTGGATTGAGACAAAAATGAAATACCTTCGTTCTGAAAAAAAAATCATCTAATCCCTAAAGATATACACTTATAATAATATTAATGCAAAAAATATGTAATGTCGCACTAACCTCTATATTAAAAAAAGGTTTAAAAACAAAATGTGTCAACTTACAAAAGAAAAAAAACGATAAAAATGTCATTCAATTTTTAAATCCTTTACCTGTGATATACACAGATTCTCTTTTTCAATAACCTCAATTTCCATGTCAAGTTCTGCTGCTGTAGTTATTCTGTTCACTGCAATCCCTTGAAGTATCATGGGTCGGAATCTTTTCAGATTCCTGGTTTCCTTTTTGTTAGATAATAAGAGAATAAGAAGAGCCTGTGCTTGGGTTATTTCTTTAATCCAATTTCTCATCTACAACATACACATAAATCTTTAAATATCAAATCAATAACTCGCAAATAGGTAGGCTATATACCTATTTAACATATTTCGTCTTCTGTCAGCGAGCATAAAATGTCTGTCTCGTAATTTGTCTAAACAAACTACTAATAGGCGTCTTTCGCGATAGTTCGGTGAATGTAGTGGAACTCTGTTATTTTTTTTTGGCAACTATAAGAATTGCATACCTCTGTAATAGATGACATGATTGCTATATCCGAATGTCCCATTAAAACTTTAGACAATGGCTTATAACATCCAAGGGCATGAAAGAATTCGTCTAGATTTGTAATTTTATTTAAAGAAGTACTACAACTTTCTTTTGACATGCTCGTCAGTGACTTGCACTTCTTGTGAAGCTTAACAAATGTTTTCTTGACGCATTTTTTAGCAATTTCATGGCCACATTTGTCATATTTTGATATCCTTGTTTCAATAGTTGAATCCACATCCTTCGTTCTCGTGTATGGTAGATCTCTGATAGATAAGGTCATTGAAAATTTAGGCATTGAATCAAATTTTCGCTGTAGATCGTCGGAAATGTCAATACGACAATTATGAGAAGAAAAAAATTTCTTATTCCATTGACTTACTCTTATCATAAAATTATTTATTCCAGAAATTAGTTTTTCTAAATCATTTAAACCTAACGCATCTCTAATCGTGGTTAATGGTGAACTATAAGGCACCATTGCCGTGCAAGTATTCATAATTGGTTTTATAACTAATCTTTGATCATTTGTTTTATCAGATATTTTTTCAAAATGAAATTTCATGTATTTGCGTAAAGTTGGTGAGAAATTTACTAGTCGTTTTGTTTCGATTTTCTTTATCAGTGTATTCTCTTGACACCAATCCAAACTTGAAGAAATAGGACTGATCTTTACATTTTTAATCGACCTTTCTTTTATCGAAAATTTACCTGTCACTAAACTTTGCAATTCCGAACCAAACTGCATAATAGGATAGAAAATTATCCGAGGAATAATCTGTTTGGTATTCGGCTCAATATTGAAAGGCGAATTGGGTAAATCTGTGAATGCTTTATCTTTCATTATTTGCGATATAAATTTGGGCAATATACTGCATAGTTTTGCTGGTAACATTCCATTTGGTATTCTATCCTGATATTTATATAGCATACTTTGATTCTCAGGTGTTATAACTGATGAGAATGATGGAAGCGTCGAATTTAGAGAGGATTCTGATACAGAAGGAATGCAAATGTCAAATTGTAACATAACATTCGTTAAACTGTGATGCACCGAAACTAAGGTGCTAGTAATCATTTTAACATCAACTTTTAGTGGCACAACATTATGATTATCATCAAAGCCTGGTATAGTTGAACTGTCTGTATCATTTGTAAAAACTTCTTGATTGATATTTTCATCCTCAAGGATAGTTTCAACCTTGGGGACAGGTATTACGATTTCCGTACCTAGAAAAATGTCGCAATAGCAGATTTTAATGATAACAATTAACTATATTTTGTTACCTTACTATAATCAAATAATTGTCAAATCGGTATCAGAATCTAAGACCGCAATTTCGGTGGTCCATAAATCTTGCCGCCTTAATCGTCAAATTATCTTAACAATATACGTTCATTTGCATATATTTCTTACTACAATATTAAATTAGGTCTTACCAGAAGTAATGTTTTCTCGATCAATGTCATGTTGAGTATAATACATTCCTTTTTTTATTTTCTTGATAATATTGTCAATGAAATCGCTAGCCCATTTTGCTTTAGACCAGGAATATTTGTTTGGTTTATTGAAGTGCGAGATATTTTCACACAATTCTTTATATTCAACTCCTTTAACCGGTTCCAAATTTATTTTACTTTCCATGTTATGTTTCATCGGCCTCAGAATGCTTGTACGGTTAAAATTAACATTTTTATTAACTAAATTCCTCTGAGGTTTATTATAAATTAAATCTATCATTTTATCTTTGAATTGATTTAATACTTTCTTTTTCTGAGGTGTTGGGTTATTTGTTTGGTGAGTGATATCTTCTTTTAATTGAAAACTACTTTTAGATTCCCTTTTCTTAGAAACAGGGCTATGCATTCTGTTACCAACGAAGTTATTAACCGATTTAAGATTCGACATTTCATTATGACAATCTTTTCTTGCAGGTACATTTTGATGTTTAGGAGATAAAGAATTTTTGATTTGGTTTTCCAAAACTTTTTCCTTTGAGTCTATTCTGTTTCCTTTTGTATCCGCGATCCATTCTTTCATATAAGGCCACACTTGGCGATCCAAACCATTAAATTGTGGAGGATCGTAATCCACAATACGAAATGTTGAACTAAGTTCGTCTTTTCCAAGTATAACAATTGGATATTTTAAGTTTACCAACCTTCTTTTAATTTCTGTTTGAGTTAATTTTGGAAATCCGTAATTTCTTTGATTGTTTAGTACTTGTTTGGAATAACATCTACCTTCTTTCATAAAACAATTGCCCTTGTTATCTAAAGGATTTTTATTTTTGTCATAAATTTTGACATCAGAAAAGTTTTTAAAACCTCCTTTACTAGAAATTGAAGACAAGAATACCTTTGATTCTTGATATTTATTGTCTTCCATTGAGGTATCATTTTGTACGTAATCTAACTTTTTATCTGGTAACGTTTCATCTTCGCTATTCGTGTTATCAATTAATTCCATATAGCCGTCCTGAATTTCATTTGGTCGTTGACCAGAATATGGATGCCTAAACAAACCACTCTGTTGACAAATCAAAGAGGTTTCCGTTTTATTTTCTGTCCCACTTATATCTGGCTGGACATTTTTCTTATTCACTTTCTGTTTATTACACCTATTTTTTATTGGATTTTTCTTTGAAATTCGAGAACTTCGTACATTCGCTACCGGAAGTTTTGTTAGTTCTTTAAAATTTAAATCTCCTTTCCTATTCACAATCGTAACTCTATCAAAGCTGGAGGGTTTCGAACAAATGCTTTGAGATTTACTTTTAATGTCGTAACTAGATATATAAGAAAATTCCTCTGTAGTACATGTTTCAATAAGCCTGAAATTATAAAAGCATTTCATTTTAAATATAAAAAACAACCCTACTAATATTTTGGACACTAAGTTTTCTACAACACAATCTTCTATATTTTCTATTAGAATTTATGGGCGTTAAAGAAATCCTAATTATCTACGTGAATTTAAAAAAAAGTCTAGCTACCCGGTTTCTTTTTGATTCTTAGTATAGTTTCCCTTTCTTTTAATTGTTTCAATGCTGTCTTCGGACAAACGTGGAGATGTAATGTAGGGAAATTTGTTCATGCTTCGTAATATTGTCCAAAGGTCACCGGGCCGGACGATTTCTCCTCTTTTTCTTGTTCGATTTATTTTTTGCATTTTGTTATTAATCCTCTTATCTTGATTAAATTGCTTTTTATCTTGTTTTATCGCTGGGGTACATATTAGATCTCCGTTGTAAAATTCAAATTTCTTCTCTTCTAGATTAGGACATCCGAATTTTTTTGCGGGACGGCGTTTTCGTTTACATCTGCGGTTGGTGTCGACTCTACTGTGATACTCTGATTCATTCATATCGCTAACAGTTTGTTGTGCATTAGTCAGCTCCTTTGATACGACTAAACGTGAAGCTTTGTCTTTCTTACATTTACCTTTACTTGGTTTAAATTCATCCGAACTGGTCTTATAAATTTTATACGCTTGGGAAAACGATGATGTGACGTCATTAGGCTTCTTTTGAAAGATTTTCTTTTCGGTCATTTTGGATATTATGTGCACCTTCGTACAATTTAAATAAGGCGAAGTTTGATCACGAGAATTATTATGTTTTCCCAATTTGTTTGAAAAAGATGAAATGCTAGTATTTTCACTAAAATTAAGTTTCATCGGAAGATTATTTGATGCATGAACATTTTTGTTGAAAGCATAATTTGAGACAGCTATATTTTCATTCATTAAATTTTCGTTCATCAAAGTTTTTGTAACCATATTATAAATGTTGTAGACTTCGATGTTGTAGATTCTGAAAGGGGAGTAAGAATGATAGTCAAATACTTCAAATTAAAAATATTTTACGGCTAGTTTTAAACACCCTTTCAAATGAGCTTTTGAATACCCATCGGCGTAGATTACAGATCGGAAGGATTGTATTAAACCAAACTAACTTGTTAACGACTTTTAACTGTGAATCTGCAAGCACTAGAAAAAGACTGTACTCTATTAGCCAAAGGTACCTGTTTACCTAGCAATTAGTTTTTTGTTACTTGAACCGGTAATAATAATTGTATTCTACGTATGCATGCCATCTTTCTCAAAGAAATTGCTAAGAACTATTCTTGTACAGTTCCCAACATCAAACAAATTGTAAAGAACCTGCTTCCTGAATCAACCCCAACAAACCTCTAGTCCGTAAAAATATATAAAATCCAACTCACTTGTCACAATAATTTCGAAAAGTCTAAATTAGATTCGGATTATTTTTCACATGGAAATGACAACTAATTGTGACCTGAATGAAAAAAATATTTTCATTAACAAATATGAAAACAAAAAACCTACGCCATTGACATCAACAAATTATTCTAATAAGCAAAGTCTAATTTAGAAAAGGTAAGTATAGTATGCCAAGTATGTTTTTGTAATGATATACAAACTTTTTCTTAATTTTTCCAATGTAATTCTAGTAAGCCATTCTTTTATAGTGATGAGGCAATGCGGGGGGTAAATAATCTCACGAATTGGGGACCTACCACCAGGTTCTTGGTCGGATCGACTGGGCTCGACGGTAAGTTAAATAGGTAGGATTGACAGACATGTACTCTCTTTGAGTTTCAGCTTAAGCTGACAGGCTGCGTCTCTATTTACTCTTCGTTGTCAACTAGGTGACTTCTTTAATTTCAAAGTAATGAACATTTTCCATATGACCTAATGGTCTATGTTACCAGGTAATAAAATTAAAAAAAAGACTTCTTTCATTGTCAAGGACAAATGCAAACTGTCAAGTGACAAATCAAAACAAATCCAATCTTATTTGCTGTATTAAAATATTAAAGGTTTATAATGATGTCAACAAACAAAGAACTTAAAGTTGTACAATATGTCCCTTTCAAATCTTTTGTACATCCCTCTTTTTGGCACAGTTTTACGGATATAAAATTGAATATTGATAAATTGGAAGAAGCCAAAAAAGAAATTTACGGCCGTTACACATACCGAGAAGATGTTGGAACGGTGTTTGAAGTGGATGGGACATCTTTTAACAAGTAAGAGTCTAAGTAGTGAAGGAAACAAATAATTGTCTCAAGTGAATATAGTGCCATTACAGTTTGTCGTTGACAAGTTTTTAATCGATAATGATTGTCATACTAACCAATACGTTTTAACGGTCATTGTATTATTTATAAGGCACTAGCTGTTGCCCGTCGTCCGCGCGGAATTACAAAAACCTTCAAACAAACATTCATCCATCCATCCATCGAAACATTCGCATTTATAATATTAGAAAGGCGTAGTATTTATCCGGGCTTGCTGTAATTTGGTATAATAATCCTAACTTTTTTGCTAGTTAAGTAGTAATGGCTAAATCTGAAGTATTTCATTATTTTATTATTAAAGAAATATTATTTTATTATAAGGTTGCCGGAGACAGAACAACACTATATCAATGTAAAGGGAACATTAATTAATGTAAATAAATTAGAGGACTTCAAACAGTCGGACAAAAGCATTTTACTTAATAACTCCGGAGAAGAAGTATGGTTAAATGTGAAATCCAAGGATTGGATCACTGAACCTAGTTGTTTGATTAATTTCTTTATCTACTCTTACTCTGTGAGTATTTAGACTATTATCATAAATGACAAATTACCTTGGGTTTAAAACTTGTATTGTGTGTTTTTATCTTTATTTACCTATAGGAAAAGAAAGAGATGGCAATATATTTTATACCAATGTTAGGTAGAAACCCACGGTAATATGAAAACTGTTCACTTATATGCCTCCCTTAAATGAAGTTAATAGCTTGACCAAGAATATAAAACACTCACAAGATTGCAAAAAAAAATTAAAAATATTTCCTGTGTATACATTACAATGTATTGCCAGGATCTTTATATTCTTGGTTAAAGCATTAACTAAATTATAAAGATTTTTGATGTTTGAATAAATTAACTTTATTTTATGGTCTTCTAAATATATTAAGTTCATTAAATGAACAAATTAAGTCAAGTAATGTTATCAAAGTATTTCTATCCACTATTATAAAGCCAATATTTTTTTTTACAGGATCTCAAAAAATACCGTTATTATTACTGGTTTGGATTTCCTTGTCGGAATCAACCAACAGTATACATGAATGATGAACCAGTATCAATTACAACAATATTTAACGAACAACAACTTGAACAACTGAATAAAGGATTTAATTCTCTTGATTTAACACAAAGACATTATTTTATAATCACAAAAAACAATGACTCTATAACTGTTGATTGTCTATCAAAGATTTTAGACCCAAAGAAACAAGTGCAAAGTATAAAAGATATTGATTTGTCTATGATTTACTTTGTGTTTACTGATCCAAGTGGTACTACCAGTCCTGGTTGGCCGATGAGATTATTTATAGCAGCGCTTTTAGACCATTGTCCTGATTTATATAATACAGATATAAATATAATAGGATTGAGATGCAGTGCTAATGGAAGCTTACAAAAAAGTCAAGTTTATAACATCAAAATACCACAGGTAATTAATTTTAACCTTTACATTGTCGTACTTTTATAGGATTTTTGATATAATTACTGCATTTAAATACTTGTATTTTAAGAGGAAATATTTGTATTTTTGTATGTTAATGAATAAACTCAAACTACCACACTTATTTCAAAAAATATTTTGCTGTTAAATTATTCAAACTTCGTGAGACATAATAAACTGATATAAAAACGGCCAAACACTCTCGTATATAACACCAGTGAATGACAGGCCGTGTCCGCGAAATAATACCAGTCCCATTCACCCTGATGAAGGGGCCGATGGGCTCGAAACTAGTCGGTCCTGCCACGGGACGAATATACGTGAGTGTTTAGCCTATTTTAAATTAGTTTAATTCTTTTGCTATTAGAAAACTACATTAACACTGATTAATAGGCTACATTGATTTCTAGATTTTTTTTTTAATTCAGTTGTGGGTTTTGTATTTTATTCCATGTTAATATGTGGATGAACAGAGTATGTGGCTTTTGCCTTAATCATAATTAAATTAAAATCTATATAATATAAGTTGTGGGTATGTTTTCATAACAGATATCAGAGACAAGCAAAGAAAGTGCAGGTTGGGTTGGTTGGGAAAGAAATGAAAAAGGTGCTTTTGGTCCAAAACTTGCTGTTATGTCTTCATCTATGGATCCTATAAAGTAAGATAGAGCTTTTTGTAGAAGATCTAATTCAAAATCATTTAGATTTATTAGCCTAAATTAACTTCTGAATTAAAATAATATCTTTATTTTTTATAAATTTTTTTAACAATTTTGTCAACTGCCAATTAGAAACTTTATAAGCAAAAGTGTCGTGTCGCGGGCGACAACTAGTTGTACTTATATGTTTACTGTTACAGGTTAGCAGAATCGTCTTCAGATCTCAATATGAGATTAATGAAATGGCGATTAGTGCCTGAACTTGATTTGGATGTGATGAAGAGAACTAAATGTCTCTTACTGGGTGCGGGAACTCTAGGCTGTCATGTTGCTCGTAACCTTTTGGTATGTTTTTATACTCTGTTCCTAAATATTGATTCAAATTATAATCTTAATATTATATATATAAGTAAGCATAGATAGCACTTGTTGTATTTCCTAACATTATTGCTTTTTTAAACAAAAGCGAACCTACCACTTTTCAGTCGTCGAGAGCTTCGGTGACTCAGTGGTTAAGCACTTAACTTGTAATCTCCGGGTGGGTTCTAATCCCGCCATGGACCAATGTGTTTTTTTATTATTAGTTTCAGTTTGAATGAAGTTAAATAGATTTTTTTTTTAGGCTTGGGGATTCCGTAATATAACATTTGTAGACAATGCCAAAGTATCGTATTCAAATCCTACAAGACAAGTGTTATATACACATCAAGATTGTCTCAACGGAGGACAGAAGAAGGCGGAAGCTGCTGCTAATAGTTTAAAAGCTATTCTACCAACAGTTGTAAGTATAATTTTTGTAAAGAAACTAGTTGTCGCCTGCGACTAAGTTCGCGAGTAATTAAAATAAATTACAGCCTACGTGCGCTTCCAGACTATGCCAAATCCAGACCTGTAGGCCAAATTTCAGCCAGATCCGTTGAACGGTTCTGGAAATACCTTCTAACAAACATCCATCCATTCATCTAAGCATTCGCATTTATAATATTAGTAAGATTAATAACATTTGTATATATTAATAGCGTCGGTGCCCCAGTGGTTAAGCACTTGACTAGCAATCTGCAGGTCCTGGGTTCGAATCCCACCATGTACCAATGTGTTTTTCGATACATATGTACATTTATCTGACGTTCTTACGGTGAAGGAAAACACCGTTGTGCTGCACATATCTGAGAAGAAATTCAAAGATATGTGTGAAGTCAACCAACACTGAGGCAGCGTGGTTGACTATGGCCTAATCACCCCTGGCTTAGGGTAGGCTCCGAGCCCTCAGTGGGAACGTATAGTGAGCTGATGATGATGATGTATATATTAAACATACTTTTTAGTAAATTAAATATGTTTTATTAATATTACAGAATAGCAAAAGTATATTTGCTCATATCCCGATGCCGGGTTACCCTGTAGGTGAGGATTTGATGGAGGAGATGTACAATAACGTGAAGTTGATAACAGATGCCATTGTAGAACATGACGTTGTATTCTTACTGCTGGATTCAAGAGAAGCCCGTTGGTTGCCCACTGTTATTGCGGCTTTACATGGCAAGGTAACATACATTTACAGAAAAAAAATGAATAAATAGTATCCTATGTTCGTCTCCTTGCACTAAGCTCCCTCTTCACCAATTTTCAGCCATATCGGTAAAGCCGTTCTTGAGTTATAAATAGTGCAACTAACACAACTTTTTTTTATATATACATAAATAACTTTATGTATAGCCTAAGACATTCTAGGAAGGAATATGAATCGAATGGCATTCATACAAATCGACGTAAAGACACCTACATATGTACAATCAGGGAATCTGGTGGTGTTCCATCTTAAAAACTACATTCGTGTAAACCTGTTACAATAACCAATTTAAAGTCAGTCTGTGCTGCTGCCACAGCTACCTAATTGGGTATCTGTAAGAAAAGTTTGTGCTGTTGCAAGAAATAAGATAATTTTTCTATAAGTGAAACACCGCGGATTTCCATGACTGTACATAGGCTCCAAAAATATGTTACCTGCTTTAGTGACATTCGTATTCTTCAGTGGGGGATTTTTTTTATGAACAACTATGTAATTTATTTCTTGTTTGATTTATTATTGCAGATAGTGATAAACGCGGCGCTAGGTTTCGACAGCTACCTAGTGATGCGGCACGGTGTGGGGCTGAATGTTGCGGGTGCGGGGGGCGAAGGCCTGCGCGCCGCGACCGTGCCCGGCGGTCGACTCGGCTGCTACTTCTGTAATGACGTCACTGCACCTGGCAACGTAAGACTTTTTTATCTACTTTATGTTGTATTTCGATCCTCTTCGGCTCTTTTCCTAATTGTCAAGTAACAAAGTTTTACGGAGTAATACTGTAACTCGAAAATACCTCAGTGCCTAAACACCACAGTTTTCAATCAGTGTGTCCTTCCCATAATGACTTATCGCGCAGAGATCTGCATACAGACGATAGGACTGGCCAATAAGTTAAGAATCCCACAGCGACCGATGTAGAAAACCGTGCTTGGTGTACCACTTAGAGACAAAATCCAGCATGATGACAATCAACAGAGAACATAGATGACATAGTTCTGTAAAACAGTCTGAAGTGGAGTGGGGGAGCAAAACCCTGGAAACCAAGGAAAGTGACCAGAAGTTTGGTGCACCTTCCAGAAGTTGTAAGCTGAAGAGGAAGGATAGCATACTGAGGAAGACCTATCTAGGCTTAAGATGATGAGTAATATTGTGTAAAAAATCATGTTTGGCAGACGTTTGCGGAACGCACGTTAGACCAGCAGTGCACGGTGACACGTCCGGGAGTGGCCGCCATCGCCGGCGCTCTCGCTGTTGAGATGTTAGCGGCTTTATTGCAACATCCTCTCGGGTAAGTACTGGTACTTCTGAGATGAGCAATTTAAAAAAAAAGATATGTAGAATTTGGAGAAACTAAGAGACAGTATTGATTTCATATTTTTAAATCGAACAGGTCACTAGTTTCCATTAAATCATTTATTCGAAAATAAGTAATCTTAATTTTTATTTTCAGTAATATTTACTACCTTACTCAGATATGTTTAGTAGTCACTAAAGTAGTTTAGTGTCGATTTAGTATGCAAAATCGTACACTAAGGTGTTGCTTAAATAATCACTATTCAACTTGTCCCGGAGACCTAATGAGCCTTCTTATAATGAAAGGATGGCAAGTGGAAGTGGACTTTCCCGATGAGAGGATGCATGGAAAGGGAAAATACTTTCTTTCTGTGCATCCTCTCCTCCGTCGCGTATGTATATGGGCAATGGTCGCTTCGCTATTTCAGCGATTTCAGGTGGCCGCTCGCTCGTTTGCCACCTTATAATATAAAAGTATTTTTTTTCAAATATCGATAAAACTAACAAGTAGAAGTTATAAATTGTCATATTATATTAATTTAACTTATTTTTAGTGTGGAAGCACCAGCTGTTTACAATCCAGATAACAAAGAGATAGATTCCGTAGACGATGGTATATTGGGATCGGTACCACATTCAATTCGTGGCTTTTTACATTCATACCAGACTGTTTTACCTACGTGTGCTAAATTTACACAATGTATCGCTTGCTCCGATGTTGTACTGAACGCTTACAAAGATAAAGGAACTGAATTCTTATTAAAAGTATTCGAAAGTGGGAAATACTTGGAAAGGATTACTGGCTTGGAGGAATTACATATAAGTGCTGAAATGAATGATGTAAGTAGCTTTTTTATCAAATTACTTTTAAATATTGATGTCTTTACTATACTTTCAGATACATTTGAGGGACCACAATATTTCACTCGCTTATAGAGGGTTCCCTCGAATCCTAGATTCTCACTTATAAAGATTTCTTGCTTATTCATATTCAACTGTATAAATCTATAACTTTTTAGCTGTCGCCCGCAACTCCGTCTGTCTGGAATTAAAAAAAACTTATTAAGTAGCCTATGTGTTCTTAAAAACTATGTTCTACATCTGTGTCAAATTTCAGCAAGATCTGTTGAGCCGTTCAGGAGATACCTTCAAACATCCATCCATCTAAACATTCACATTAGTAAGATTAACATAGTTACTGCATTTAATAAGTACACACAACTCTCACAAATTTCTAGCTAATTGTTTTGTATTTATATGTTGGTAAGGAATGGATTTTTTTTTATAGATGCTGGCATTTTCTGATGATGAAAACCAAGAAAATATTGACAATGAATAATCTCAATTTATATAAAAGTATATAGTATACATTTTATCAATTGCATTTATTTCACAGCTTTTGTTAGATAAACTAGGAAATTAAGAAAAAGTTTAAGATGTGATATTTATCGTGGGCTTCTGAGATCCCAGTTTAAAACATACTTCTCTCTGTTTTGTCAAAGATGACAGGGATGATAATATGTTTTATTCAGAGATTTGGGTTTTAGAAACTAAAAGTTTGAGCATTTGCGATTCAGGTAACAAACATTTTCATAATATTACAAGTAACTGCATAATCAGAAAGTGTGATAAAAATTAAAAAAAAAATATAAAAATGTCTTATTTTGTGTACAACGTTATGTATAGAAAATTCTATGTTGAATATATGCTATTACTTATTTCTGTGATATGTTAAAAAAAAGTATGTATTTGAATAAAATTTTACTTTTATCTGTGCCATGATTGTATTGATGTAATTAAAAAAAAATCTCTTATGTGTCAAGTAAAAAGAATAAGACAAAATCAATTTGTTGAACACTATATTTTCTACATTAATTTCTTATATTTTAAGGGCACATACTAAGTGAAATCGCTGGCAACTGCTTCTTGTTTGAAAAAGAAATCTCTTTAATTGGCTTTGGTGGTTTTATTTTCCTTCCGTGTCGACCATCTTTTCTCTTCCATAGACCAGAGCGGGGACGGTTGCCAAGCCATCTGTTCCTTTGGGGGGAACCTATTGGGGTATTGCCATGATCCACGTTTGATAAACGACCTATAATTGAAATAATATTGTAATTATATAACCAAGTAACTATGGAATTTTTTTTTTAACCTGAAAAACATAATTGATAAAAAAAAGCAATAAGCATACAAAAGTTGATTATTTGGAGATGTAAATATGGAAGAAATTAATGTACAGTCAGCGTCATATAGATCGTCACAGACAAGATATGCAAATATATAGGTACATCAAAAGTAATCAATTATATCGGTACAACAAAAGTCCTCAAAATAATAGATACATTCACCCTGCTCAAATACATCGGTACATACACAGCGTCAAATATATGAGTACATGCAAGATGCTCATAAATATCGTAGCAGCCATAGCGTCATAAGTAACGAAGCAGTCAAGGTGCGCAAAAATATCGGTACATTTGACAAAATTGAACTCTATCTCTTTATACTTGTGATACAATTTGGAATAAACTACTTCTGTTACATTCATTTGACACTTTGCATCAAACCATTTTTCAAAATTTACTAAAAGTGTTCGACGCGGATGACAGATATTAGGTAGATAAAACCAACATCAAATTTAAGTTTGTCATCATATATGCTAGTTTGGTCTCGTGGCCTTACCGTTCGCCGCCGTTGGTGCGTAAGTTCGGCGGTTCAAATCCCAAGCAATTTTTTTTTTATATTTAAACTTTTTAATTTTAATATCGAAGCACATGTAATTAAACTCTATCGCCGTAGTTATTAGGTACTTTTTGATATTGCCTTGGACTAATGAGTTTGACCGTTAAAGTACTTTTCTATTTCAAACAAAAATGAAGGAGATAAAGTGATGCTATTGACATGTAATTTGTTTATTACTCATGTTTGTTAAACTTGTACCGGTAAAAATTTACTTTTACCTTTTACTGATACTGATTATATTTAAGAAACAAAGAAAAAAAACTGAATGTCAATATCCAAACTACATCAAATTTTTGGTCGATTGCAACAAACATTCCAGTGTGCGTGGGCGCGCACACATATGTAGATAACACTTGTACGTATAGTTTCCGCGCGTACCATTCTTAAAACCCGCAAAGACAATCCACGCTCCGCCCACTCACTTCACCCGCGATGGTCTGACCTAATTGTTGTTAACTTTATTTAAATTTCATTCTACCCGACAGCGAAAATTATAAAAAAAAATTGTCGAGCAAAATTTTACATTACCAAATTTTTACTGGTTATGAAAAAATAACCCCGTGATTGATGAAATGAAAAAAAAGTAGCCTGAGATTCGAACCGGTAAACTTATATATTACGGCAAACATACTAGAATACTGCGCCAAACTAGTATATATTGTGACAAGGCAAAATTTGATATTAGTTATTACGTATCTGTCATATTCGGCGTGACAAACTTTTATAATATATTTAAGCGTT